ACTCTAAATTATAACCCACCCAAAATTTACAACAATCAAACTTTATTCTTCTTCAATGTAGCATGAATTGAAACATCTTTTGATTATTTTGATAACCTTTTCTCCACATCTTCATTGAAGCATATTGTATGATTGATGTCTCTTGGTTCATATCAGGACTGAATTTTAAATTTTGGAAGTCTAGGAAGACGAGGAGAAGGGGTGTTAAGAACCGAACGAACCGGTTTGGTTTCGACGTGAATTCAACCGAAAATGGTTTGGTTTGTCCTCGTTTGCCTTCGCTCAAATAGACACATGCTATCTTAGGGTTGAACTTCTTCATTTGTGCATTACTCGTCTACATTTGTCTTTAATTTGCTTGACGCTTGTCTTTACTATGTTGTACATTCGTCCTCGAATTTGTTTCTGTCCTATCTTTCAATCTCACTGTTGCTTTGTTGTTCGATCTCCCTCTTTGTATGTTCGTGTTTGTGTCACCATTGTCAACCCTCTATCTCTCTTAGCTCGTGCTCACTTTGACGTCATTCAATCTCCTTCAATAACAACGTTGAGTTGGTTTTTTGGTCATAGGTGATTTTGTTACTAGTGGGTTTGTTGTTAGGATTTATGCTCTAAAATGTCGTAGTTAATAATTTATTTAATTAAAAAAAATTATTTTGATTATTTTATTTGTGATGTAACATTGTCCATTTATAAAAAATTACAAGTTATTAAGAACAATATGTCAAACTTGACATGTGGTTGACATATGAGAAAATCATATTTAATAAAGAGCTTAAACAATATATAGTATATGAATAAGGTTAGATGTCGTAATACATTGATAGAATTCACTTTGTAAATATTATGAATGATTAAATCCAACTTCTTCTTGTTACTTGTGAGGGTTTGTGCGATTTGCATGGGTGAAAATGATTTTTTTGTAGTCAATTCAATATGATTGTAATTTTCGGGACTTCACTGGGTAGAGAGCTATTAGCATAATTTCACGAGATGAAATTCATTCGTAGTTTCCTTTACTACTGATTTTCGGTCTCGATTTAAATAATTCAACTTGTACTACGGGCCAACACTAGATTTAGTATAGACTTATAGTTAATAAGTGAAAATCAATTAATTAAAGAGTTTAAATAATTCCTTTTGTATCAGTAAAACTTATAACTTCTATAAAATTCTCTGGTTGGCCCGTAACAATAGAGTTCAAAATCAATTAATTAAAGAGTTTAAATAATTTATTTTGTATCAGTAAAACTTATAACTTATAGGCTATAAAGTTCTCTGAGTTTAAATAATTTATTTTGTATCAGTAAAACTTATAACTTATAGGCTATAAAGTTCTCTGGTTGGCCCGTAACAATAGAGTTTTGAACGTTCAAATTAATATTTTATATTTTATATAACAATAGAGTTTTGAACGTTCAAATTAATATTTTATATTTTAAATATAAAAGAGAAAAATATATTAAATTTGAAGAGTTCAAATTAATATTTTTTTTTATAAATATAAGAGAGAAAAATATATATAAATAGAGTTTTGAACGTTCAAATTAATATTTTATATTTTAAATATAAAAGAGAAAAATATATTAAATTTGAAGAGTTCAAATTAATATTTTTTTTTATAAATATAAGAGAGAAAAATATATATAAAGAGTTCTCGTATGATTAATTGATGACTAAAAAATTTAAGATAGATTTTATGATTTGTCATGTCCTGCAGCATAGTTCTTTATTGAAGATCATAAAAACTAAAATAGCTCACTTAACTATCATTTCAAGACCAAAACTCATAAAATATACAAGCTAAATCAAAATAGCTAAATATCGTTCGTCGAGGACAAATTTGTAAACAAAAACATACTCTTAAATTAAGTTCTATGTGTTTGGTTATGAAAAACTAAACCACAATTTCCAACTTGCGAGTAATCATGGACAAAAGAATCAAAGTCGAAACATAGAAATAACCAAATAGCTTTATATAGAATTTGTGGGACAAGATTCGACCCCAAAATGGCCACAACTTGCCTCGGACCTAACCGAGCCCAGTGGGGCCGAGTTCACGTGGGCGTGCACTTCACATGTCTACGACCCATTAATCACATGCAGAAGCTTAAGCAATTTTTCTCTAAACTCTACTGAAAAGGAGGAGAAAAACTCTCGGTCGATCCTCACGTAAATATATTACAAAAATGCCATCAAAGTTACTTGACTTAATCTTCGCTCTCTATACCTAAAATCTTGCTACACTTTTAAATCTCGAACTTTTTCTCTCTATACCTAAAATTTTAGTACACTTTTAAATCTCGAACTTACACATTTGAGTGTAGTGTGACACCACATCGTACAATTTTTATTATTTTGCACATCACATGTATACTTTCAATAAAATTTAAAATTAATTATTTTATTGTTATGAAAATAGTGTCTATTAATCATTTTTCTATAAAATTTGAAAATATAAATTATTATTATAGATTAATTTGTGATTTTTTTGGGTGTAATTAAAATTATTTAAAATAAAATGGACTAAAATAATATTTTAATTAAAATAAATGGATTAAAATGGCATTATATATATAAGGAGTCGGGGGACGACATGTCGTTGCCACTTAACCTAACGCCGTTTTCTCTGTCGGTTTCGTTTATATTCTCACTGCAACTCAATTTTTGGCCTTTCACCTTGTCCTAAACGCAATCATCAGCGAAGGAAAAAAAAAAGGGTTTTCTTTGTTCTCTCCCGCCCTCTTTCTCTCTCTGTTCCTTCTCTGCAACTTTCTACCGATCATCCATGGCCGGCCGCTTTGAGTTTGGTTCTCGTCCTAATCTCTCTGTTTCCAGTCCTCTCCATGCCGCCAATGGTATTTTTCTCTCTATTTTTACTTACTTTGAGCTCCGCCTTCCCCTTTTTAATCATCTCATTTCTTGGTTGCGTTCTTGGGGTTTTGTACTGTTTAGCTTACCCCTAGCTGACGGCTTCTCACTGGCTGGATGTTTTTGGTTTAATGTTGTCTTGTGGATGACGGCTTCTGCACTGATGTGAGTTAGGGCTTTTGAGTATTTCGATAATGGTATCGAGTTTTTTGGGTTGCATTTTTTTTTTTTTTTTTTTTTTTTGCTTGTGGGATGAATGAATGAAGGAGTTTGAATGCTATTGGTCATTGTTGATTTTGAGATTTGGCTCTTGGTTGTAGATTTCCGTCCTTTTGTTTTTGTATTGGTTTTTTGTTTCTTGAGGTTGATGAAATTTGGACTTGGAGAACTGAAGTTGGAAGTTACTGTTTGTCTAAAGCTATTTGTACACGTTGAGGACAGAATTTGAGTTGATATTAATCACTTGGATTTTAGATGAGAACTTGGATTTTTTCTGCAAATCGTCAATCTTGTTGGTGCACGTTTGCTGAAGGATCTGGAAATTTCCGTATCCCTCCTTGCTATCCATACGAGTTGGGACTGTAAAATGCGCGACTGATAGTGAATATTGGTGTTCTTCGACGTGAGTTCTGGAAAAAAAAAAAAAAAACACCTCATCTTGATGTAAAACACGTGTTGTATGAACAGTGGCATGTGGCGGGATTAAGTTTCAGCTGGAACTAGGCCTTTTCTAATATTTTGTGATGTGTGAAGTTAGTTTTTGAAACTTATCTATATGGATGATGTTGCATATGATATGATTCTATTTGAATGAGTTTCAATTGCGGTTTCACAGCTGGAGTCCAACAAATGATGATTAGTAACTTACTTGAACACAAACTGTTGATACATGTCCCTGCAGCCATTGGACACTTCTTTATAGCAGATGATGCTACTGTTCGGCCATTGGCGGACCCATTTTACTGAATTTAAAATTTGTTTTTTGAATTTGGGAAAATGATTTTGATGGAAGTGAGTTGCGTCTACAGTATTGCATGAAAGCCATGTCCTATGGTGCTTGGATTAATTTAAATTGCAAATCTTTTGTAAACTTCTTAAATTGAATGTGACGACTATTTCTGTTTAGTAATTACTGATTATAATGTTGCTTATAAATTGTAAAAAAATTTAGGATGCGGGTTGACTAATTTTTTATATATGTTTATGCAGATGTTCAGGGATCTGAAAATCCTATTCCTCTTTCACCACAGTGGCTTCTGCCTAAGCCTGGGGAGAGTAAGCATGGAATTGGAAGTGGGGTGTGTTGTCTGAACTTCGACACTATCGTTTATCTATACCACCATCTGTTTATGATACTTAACTGTAGGGAGATATTTGAGCTTTCAGTTATACAGTGAATCCTCTATTAGTCAGTCATAATATGTTAACGCTAGGTTCATTCCCTATAATTCCTGATGGTTCATTTCCTATAATTCTCTGGTCCTTCTTAAATCTTTATATTGCAGGAAAACCATTTCAGTCATCAACCTGCTCATGGAAACGTGGTGGACATGATGAAGGGATCAGAGAACTATGAGGATATGAGTGACATGCAAAAGAAAAAAGACGTTTTTAGGCCATCCTTGACTGATACTGAAATTGGTAGGCGTGACCGTTGGCATGACGAAGAAAGAGAAAATAATTCTTCAATGCGTAAAGATCGTTGGAGGGATGGTGAGAAAGAGGTGGGTGATAGTCGTAAGATGGACCGTTGGACTGAAGACTCGTCAACCAAACTCTTTAGAGAATCTCGTCGAGTCCCATCAGAACGCAGGTCTGATTCAAGCAATCGGGATAATGTTCATTATGATCAACGACGTGAGAGCAAATGGAATACACGTTGGGGCCCTGATGATAAGGAAACTGAAGGCTTTCGTGAGAAGCGGGTGGACTCTGGAAGAGATGGTGATTTGCATCTTGATAAAAATTTCTCTCATGTGTCCAATTATGGGAAAAATGACCGGGATGGAGATCATTATCGCCCATGGAGATCTAGTTCCTCTCAGGGTCGAGGTAAGGGAGAACCCCCTCACCATCAGACCCATACTCCAATCAAACAGGTGCCTACATTTTCCCATCGTGGACGTGCAGACAACACACCTCCTACCTTCTCCTCGGGTCGTGGAATCATCAGTTCTGGTGTAAACCCTACAAATAGTATTTATTCATCTTCTAATTCTCTTGGAGCTTCCTCTGAGAGATTTGGAAGAGAGCCTTTCCACTACAAATATAGCAGGACAAAGTTGCTTGATGTTTTCAGGACTACCAATCTGACATCACAGCAAACTCTCAAAGATGGATTTGTGCCAGTGCCTACTCTTACGCTGGATGAACCATTGGAGCCTCTTGCTCTTTGTGCACCAACTACAGAAGAAATGGTAAAATGTTGTTATATACTGTTGTGTTTGGTGTATGTGCTATAGCTATCTAGCTATTTGAATGGCATCTTTTGTTTTTCTTAGAATTTCTTGAAGGGGATTGATAAAGGGGAAATTGTTAGTAGTGGTGTTCCTCAAGTATCAAAGGATGTTCGAAACTCATCAGAAAATATGCAGACAAGACGAACAAAACTTGGTGTTTCACCTTCCCCAGGTCTGAAATGCTTCCTCTTAATTGTTTGATTATGGTATTTGGTTCTGTGTTCTTATTAGAAAAAAATTGTGGGGTGTGGTTCACTATGAAACCTTGGACCATGTTTGTGTGAGCAGGCAACAGAGAAGATTTACCTCATGGCTTTGATGATTACAATGATGATAAGGATGATAGCACCGCTAAACCAGGTCACACAAACTATCCAGAGGTCTCTACCGAGAGGCAGGTGCCTTATCGTAGGCCCCAGTCAAAAATTGAAACCATTCAGGAACGCATGGCACATGCTAGTAGCAAGTTCAAATCTGAAGGTATGTTACGCCTTAACTGGAGGATATAAAAAAGTTCAGAATTTTACTCTTGCTACCTATTGTTCGATGTGGTCCGAACTGATAGACCCTTGAAAAGATCTTAGTTGGAGGAGGTTTTACTAAGCTCCTTTTGGGACTACCTTTCTTTATTCTTTCTTTCCATCAATAGAAAGCTTACCATTTGCCAAGAAGAGAGAATTAATGAAATAGCTGGCAAATTGTACAATTTCGATAATGTATAGTAACATGGTCTTGAATTTATCCCCAGGTCTCCATGTTTCTGTTTCTAGATATTTAAATTTCTATTTTCCAGTTGGTATTACTAATTTAATTCGGGGATGTTCTATGATATATCTCTCTTTATCTTTTAACTGCTGTGTTTCGCCCTTGGTTTTTCCATTTTGTTGGTTTTGTCGGAAATGTCTGTATCTGGTCATGGAATGTAACCCTTGTTTTTTGAAATTCAATTTTTTCCATGGACTGTTGTCTCTTTTGGTTCTGAGGATGTTTGTACCATGCTTGTATTTATGCAGGTTTCAGAGAAGATGACAATGCTATGAGTAAAGCAGATGAGGTGCCTGTCAGTAGGGACTCAAGTGTTAAGGGGGGTACCAATGTTCATCCTGACAGTTCGTGGAACGCCTCATCACTTGAGCAACCCCGGAATACATCCTTGTCTGACTGGAGAGATAATTCTAATAATATTAGCTCAGGAACTTCTGACAAGGGTTGGCTACAGCCTTCAAAGAGTCTTAATGATGGGTGGGGAAATAATCCAGCTACTCCATCTTATCCAAAGGACAATTCCAAATGGCAGACTGGGGAAGAATCTATCATTAGAAGGCAGATTTCAGGGATTTTGGACAAGGAACAACTAGCAAGAAAATCTGTTCAACCTTCTCCAGAGGATTTGCAATTTCATTACATTGATCCTTCTGGTGCAATTCAAGGCCCATTTAGTGGGGCTGACATTATTCAATGGTTTGAGGGTGGGTATTTTGGCTTAGAGTTGCCTGTCCGTCTGGCAAATGCACCAAATGACGTGCCATTTTCAGCACTTGGTGATGTCATGCCTCATTTACGATCTAAAGCCAAACCACCACCAGGATTTAACGCACCAAAGGCTAATGAATTTGCAGATACATTAAGTAATGCTAGTTATGGTAGCTTGGGAAAGCTTCATACTGGTTTGAATGAGATCGATACTTTGAGGAATGAGACAAGGCATAAACATGGCCCAGCGGTGGAAGCTGAAAACAGATTTTTGGAGTCACTTATGTCTAGTAGTAATAAAGGTTCTTCCCCTCTCGAGAAGGGTGCCTTTTCTGAAGGTCTGTTCTTATATGTGAATAAGAAAATTATTATATCACTTTCCTTCAAAGTTCTTATGCACTGTTATAATTCTTGTTGTAATATCATAGTGGAATCTAAGTTGATCTTGATGCTTGATGTATAGGTGTGCCAGGATATTTTGGAACTAATAATTTGTCTTCATTGGGAATGGACAATGGGAACAACCTTTTCCTGTTGGCCCAAAGAATGGAACTTGAACGGCAAAGGTCTTTGACCAATCCTTATGCATTCTGGCCTGGGATAGATGCTACTTCCAAGGTTTCTAAGACGGATATTAGCCTAGATGATCCAATTCAGCAAGCAAAGCTCTTGTCTTCAATCATAGACCAATCTCGTCAAACTGCTCAAAGTGCCGACATGTCAGCCATTCTACAAGGCTTGTCTGACAAAGCACCTCCAGGCATTAGTGATGTTGCTGGCTGGTCAAAATTTGCTTCACAGCATGCTTCTGATCCTCTCCAAAGTAAACTTGACTTGCACCATGATCTTAACGTGCCTTTACAGGCACCTTTCGGTTTCCAACAGCAGAGATTACCACCACAAATGTCCCTGGCAAATGTATTGGCTCAGGCTACTGATAATCCTACCTCAACTCCAGATAAGTTTCTTCCTTCTAGCTTATCTCAAGATCCACAACTGATAAGTAAATTGCAACAACAGCATCTGTTGCAGTTGCAGTCTCAAGTGCCCTTCTCTGCACAACAAATGTCGTTGTTGGACAAACTTTTACTACTTAAGCAGCAGCAAAAACAAGAAGAGCAACAACAGTTATTACAGCAACAGCAGTTGCTCTCCCAGGTTCTATCAGAGCATCAGTCACGTCAGCATTTTGGCGATCCAGCTTTTGGACAATTACAGGGCGCTCCAATATCTATTGGAAATGCATCTATTGATCCATCTCAAGTTCAGCTATCACGAGAGCAGTTACCGATTGGTTCACAGAAGCCACCAAATGTACTAACTGATCGTGCAACTACCTTGGGGAATATAGCTCTGCAAGTTACCCAGGGAGCAAGTTACAATGTTAATTCGGAAGATCCATCCCTTGTTGTTCCACACCAAATGTTTGGAAATGTTGTTCAGCAAAAGAGTTGGAATGCTGCTCTTCCGGAGCAGCTTAATGATATTCATCCAAAAGATATGTTACCAGGATCTAAATCAAACGAGGATGTGAATCTTGTACCAACTTCATCTGACAGCGACACTGTTAAAGCTTTGGAGCAGATATCAGAGGATGTACCAAGGGTGGACGCAACTGTCACATCTATTGCATCTGATGTTTCAGTAGAACCTCTTCCTCTCAGAAATGATGAAGTCTCAGTTGCTAGACCACCAGCCGAAGTTCGCGATATTGAAATTCCTGTTCCGATTAGTGTACCCGTTGTGAAGGTTGAAGATGCTAGTACGCCTGTGGAGAAGCTTGAAAGGAATGTATGCAAAGATGATACCTCTGTGGAGACGGAATTGAAAAATGTTGAAGCGCAAGAACCTAGAAAATCTTCTGATAAGAAGACCAAGAAGCAAAAATCTTCAAAGTTGCTTTCCTCTGACCAGGCCAAGTACTCTAAGAATTCTGCTATTCAACAGTCAAAGCAACCAAAAAATGGTAAACCAGAAAATGATTTGAAATTAAAGGAAGATAATCTTGTGGGAAAATCAAGTGATACGTCATCCTCTCCTCAGAAGACCAGGGATGGGGATGCCAAAATTTCCCATGTGGATAGTCAACCAGCCTCTGCTTGGAATGATAGTGAAGCTGATCAAGTGAAGTATGACACCAGACTAATTGGCTCTGATTCTGGAGTTAACTCACAAATTCAATCTTGTCAAAGAGCTTGGAAAGTTGCTACGAGTTTCAAGGCAAAGTCGTTATTGGAAATTCAGGAGGAAGAGCAGAAAAGGGCACATATAGAACCTGCTGTGTCAGAGATTTCAACTGCTATCAATTCTATGAGTTTATCAACTCCTTGGGCCGGGGTTGTGAGCAATTTGGACCCAAAAGCTTCCAGAGAAACTCATAAAGATTCTATGAATTCTGAACCAATTGAGAAACATGAAAATTTATTGAACTTGAGGAGTAGAAAGAGTCAATTGCATGATCTACTGGCGGAAGATGATATGGAGAAGTCTGGTGCAGGTGTTGTTCGCGTTTCTGACTCGATTCAGATTGCTTCTTCTCCTCAGGTCGTGGCCACACAAGCAGAACCTATGGATGACAATTTTATTGAGGCAAAAGACACCAAAAAGAGCCGTAAGAAATCTGCCAAGGCTAAGGGCGTTGGTATAAAGGCCTCCTCTTCAGTCCCTTCCGCTGATGTGCCTGTTGGTTCAAGTCCCATTGAGAAAGTGAAAATCTCCCGCCAGACACAGCAGGAGAAGGATGCAATGCCTGCCATTCCTTCGGGGCCTTCTTTTGGTGATTTTGTTCTATGGAAGGGAGAAGCTGCGAATGTGGCCCCTGCACCAGCATGGTCCAGTGACTCTGGTAAGTTCCCCAAACCCACATCTTTGAGGGATATTCAGAAGGAGCAGGAAAGAAAAATCTCTGCTGCTCAGCATTCACATCAAATCCCCACTCCGCAAAAGGCTCAGCCAACTCAGGTTGGTCGTAGCAGTAGCAGTAGTACTCCTTCCCGGGCTCTTTCTGCTTCTTCCCCATCGAAGGTTGCATCATCCCCCCTGCAGAACACTCCTTCTCAGTCAAAGTATGGAGGTGATGATGACCTATTTTGGGGGCCCATTGAGTCGAAGCAAGAAAATCAGCAGTATGAGTTTTTTCCTTCGCCAGCTTTACTTTTTTATCAGTGTCAATGCTACTAATGACCTATTAGTGGCGCCAGGTCTTTGAATCTCGTAGTCCTTTGTTGAATTTGAACTCCTCTCTTTTTGTTGCCCACCTCATCTGGGTCAGGGTTTTAACTTTTGTGTATACTTGACAACATTGTAGATTTCTATTCCGTCGGTGTTGCACTATAATCCTGAATTCGAAGGAAATAAAATCATGTTTCTGTTTCAGGGTTGATGTCCATCTTGGGAGCCATGGAAGCTGGGGAAATAGAAACACTCCTGCAAAAGCAGCAGCAGCAGCTTCAACTGGGTTGTTAAGCCGGCAAAAATCATCTAGTGGCAGAGCCGACACAGCTTCAACTGGGTTGTTAAGTCGACAAAAATCATCGAGTGGCAAAGCAGATTATCTTTCACCCTTGCCTGCACAGTCGTCTCAGAAAGGCAAACAAGACACAGTTACCAAGCATTCAGGTCAGTTCTTGATGGGTTGTGGTCGTCTTTTCCCAGGGTTTGTTTTTTTTTTTTTTTATTACTTTTTCTCACAAACTTCTTTTGGCATGTATAATAATCAAAAAAAATTCCCTCACCTTGTAGAAGCTATGGACTTCTGCGATTGGTGTGAGCGTGAATGTGCAAGGCTCCTTGGGACTAAAGGTATCTTTCCCCGTCTTGTCAGAAGGACATTTTTCTTGTGGATTTTATTGTCTTTTTTTCGATGGACATTTTTCTTGTAGATTTTATTGTCTTTTTTTCGACTAGAAGATCGCTTAATCATCAGGAAACAACTTTACGGTTCTCCTATAAATCTTTGTAGTAAATGTTTGCATCACTAGTAACATTTTCCTGCCTTTTTCAGCTTTTCAAACTTTCCTTTTGTCCATCATTTTTCTTATATATATTAAATGCATGCATTAATCATAATTGAAAACTTTTGAGCACAAAAATACTTGAATATATAAAAACCTGGAAATGTTTCAATAATCTATAGTTTAACATACCTTTGTTGTTTTTCCTTTTTAATAAACGCCTGCATTGTTTCTATGTCTTCATTCTTTCTTTAAAAAAATTGTCCATGCTTTATGTTTAGACAAAAATGAAAATTGTCTTTATGTTATTGTTCTTTTGCTCGTAATTAAGAATTGTTTTGCTATCTTTTATTAATGGAGTATCAACTTTTTGCCCGTTCTAGACACAAGTTTTCTGGAATTCTGCTTGAAGCAATCAAGATCTGAGGCAGAGCTGCTTTTGATAGAGAACCTTGGATCATATGATCCTGACCATGAGTTCATCGATCAATTCCTCAATTACAAGGAGTTGCTCCCAGCAGATGTTCTTGAAATTGCATTTCAAAGTCAGAACGACCGGAAGGTATTTGCAGTAGCTGCCCGAGAAGTGAATTCTGGCCATGCTGGTCGAAATCTGGACCCAGATGCCCCCGTTGGCGGTGATGGGTCCGCAAAGGGTGGAGGAAAGAAGAAAGGAAAGAAAGGGAAGAAGGTAAGTCCATCAGTTTTGGGTTTCAATGTAGTTAGTAATCGAATTATGATGGGTGAGATTCAGACCGTTGAAGATTAGGATAGCAAGAAAGAGGCTCTGGTGGTAAATGTAAATATATGACATCTAACTTTCTGTAAATGGATATTTTTGTACCTCTACCCACCCTCCCCACAGAAAAACACCACAGTGATGCAGCAGCAGTGACTATTTCGTCTGTCTGCTGGACGATTTTGACAATTAATTGTTCATCTTACTAGGTTTGTTATTCGGTCTGTCGAAACATTTTTTGAGCTGGATTTAACCTAACCAAGGTAATTTATTCTTGTGTTTTACTTTGTTCTTTTTTCTGGAGAGGGGATTCTTTGGCATTTCACAGTAAAGTTTAAGCTAATGCATTATTGGCCACAAGACCCTTGGACTACGAAGACGTCGAGCACTGCAGCACCGCCACCCGGTACGTTCAATTGTTGAGGAATGAAAGTTTAATTATTGAACTTCTTGTGCATATAGTTTGATTTCTGAAATGGCTGATGACTACTTTAGACTAACAAGCCGTTGCTAGCTTGAATTACTGGCCAGCCTCTCGACGCCTTTGCCTGCCTCATGAATGCCATTTTGTAGGGAATGGTGCACCACTAATAGACTGATAATGCTTGATGATGACCCTTTTTATAGCCCGGCCTAATCTATTGTGCATTGTATTAGATGTCCTCCACTGGCACTTAGAAAAAAAGGCTATATTTGATAGTGTTGGTTGTGTAGGAGCCTTGATTTGAACCCAACTACCAAATTGCCCATTAGTAGATACAGAGAAAGGTCATGTGATATGTTGTGTAAGAGGCTGAGCCTTGCTTAGCAGGTGTATTCGTAGTCGGGTTTGAGTTAGGTTCGATACAATCAAGACGATTCTATTCTTCAAGAATTTGTTAAATTTAACTCAGTTTAGTGGAAGGATAGGCTTTAATTAAACCATACAGGTTTGATTGAATGGGATAGTAGTTTGTATTTAACTCTTCGATCCATTTATTCTAGTGACAGAGTGTAGAATAGTTCAAAGTTAAGATTCGAGTCAATTAGTTTTGAATGTGTTATAAATTCAAGTTTAGTTTATGATTCGAGCTGGTCTTGTTCAGTTAGTCTACCCGTCCTGGTTACTTCAACCAATTGATCTACTAAACCAATCATGGGGAATTAGTAACTCTTGACCTTTTGGCTCTTCATCGAGGCCTAGCTTGTGGCATAGCAAAATCAACCGAGGGCACCTTAGTATACGATTGTGCATAACTTTCTAGGAGACGATAAAGCAGTCTTAATTCCATCCTTATTCAACGTTTTACTTCTCTGTCGATAGCATCGGATATAACAATCAAAACTGACCGAACCTCAACTATATTACTTTATTTAGTAGGTCAGCAATATTTGGCATATATTCTTCACTTCCAAGTCTGAATAGGTTGACTTATATGTTCATATTATTCTGCCATAAACTACACAAAACACAAGATCTGAAAGCTGTAGTACGACAAATTGTTCTCAGAATTCAAAGCTATGTGACAAATGGTTGCATGTGGCCAAAAAGCGTAGGCGCCACCTTCATAACTATGTGAATAAACAAAGCAAAAGAGATAACCATTGACATTGGATTGGTATGGTAAATTTTGTATATTCCATTGTTTTTTTTTAACATAGCATACAGCTTTAACCACATAGATTCAAGGATCCTCCCAAATGGAACACACCCCCACGGCTACCAACTTAGCTCAGCGCCGCACCTACTCACCCAATTGCCTTTGTTTTGAGCTTTTCAATCTGTTTTCACTCTGCAAATCACATCCCAAGTTGATATTATTCTAATTATTTGTAACGGACCGTTAGCAACCAATCGTTAGCAGATATTATCCTGTTTGGCTTTAAAACGTGTATGTAAGGGAAGGTTTCCACACCCTTATAAATGATGTTTCGTTCTCCTTTGGGATATTACATTATCATTTTAAAGGTCAATCATTGATCTCGAAGAACGATCGATATTTGATCCCACCTCACAATGATTTGACTCGACCCAAAAAAAAAAAACACAAAAGGAGTAGATGTTGCTGCAAATCTCAATCTCTAAAACCCATTTCTTAAATTTTTATGTTTCGAGTTGAAGAACTAACTAAGAATCACTTCAGTGGGAGACCCATGTTCTCAAAAACCAATTCAAGAACATTTTTAATCTCGGGGATTTTAAGGTGAAACAATGGCTAACCTTGGATTTGGTCGGAATTGGGTCGACTTGAAGAGATCGCAGAGACATTCTAGCGATCTCCAAAAGTGCAGCATCTCGAACGGCAGGAACATCACCGATCAAATCCTCGTACGCCGCTTCAAAAGCCTCCGACCAGAATCTAGGCAACCGGCCGCCGCCGCCGCCGTGGGTGTACAGATTCCACATATGGCGGACAACCCTCTCCCGCTCTTCAACTTCCTAGTAATCAGCAAAAAAACAAAGCCCTAAAACACCACAAACAACAGTAAAAACCAAAACCCACCAAGGAAAACGGCTAAAAAGATCACCAAAATATCAAGATCATCAAAGATCGGCTTGCGGGGGCCGTCGTAGAGTTTGGCGAAGGTTGCGGCGGACCATTTGAGTGAGACGGAGCCGGTGAACATGGACCAGAAGGCGAGGAGAAGAATGGCGGCCAAGGCCCAGAACTTGTAGCGAGCCTTTCTAGATAGGAAACATGGGGTCTCCTTGTTCGGAGCCGCCATTGTCGGTGAAAGCTCGGATTTCATTTTGGGGTTTGTGGGGTTTTGAGTGTTGGGTGAACAGTAGAATGAGAAATTAATGGAGGGTGTTGGCGTAATGCAAATGGGAATTGGAAGATGAAATTGAAAGACCCTTTTTATTGGGAATTTATGAATGGGTGAGTCAATGTGAATGGGACCGACGCCATGGACAGAGCTTCCTCTGCAAAAGGGACCCAAGTTGGTTGGGGATGGCGGTGGAGCCTTCGCAGTTGATTCAAAGATTTAACAATGGGAGTATCCCTTGTTTCAAATATATTTTCATCCATAGTTTGCTCACTGTATTCATTCATTTGTTGATTCCGATGTCTACAATTCTTTCCTACAAGGAAGTTGAGTTAGCATCATACTGTTGGATAGGTTCGATGTGATTTTTTAACTTCGAGGAAGATGTGCATAAAATATCGTTCAAATTACTGCAGTTAATACCACATCGAGAAGAATCAAGCTTTAATTGTTCTTGTATTATTACAAATTTTAGGTGGAGTTTCAGTAATTTTTTTTAGACAAGTTATGTTTTATGGTCATCAAAGACAATTATACTTAGAAAAAAAAGTACCTTAAATTTTTTAAAAGGTTTCAAAAAGAATCATTTTCAAAAGTTTCATTAATATATTAGCACATTTTTTAAGTTTCAAAAGATAATTTTAAACTTTTTTAAAATTTAAAAGATATTTTAAACTTTAAAAGAAAAAAATTGCATTTCAAAAATACTCATGAACTTTTAAAAGTAATATTTAAAAGTTTAGGGATAATCTATCAAGTATTGATATTGACATTAAGACTTTTTACAAAAGTTGAAACGTATTAATCAAATTTCATAAAATTTATAAGTATTTTTTTAAATACTACTAAAAATTTAAAAATATTTTTTAGACCATATATATAAGAGAGAGAGTATTTTTGAAATACTATTAAAATTTTAAAATACTAACCATAATAATAATTTTAGATTTTTTAAGAAATTTAAAAAAAAAATATTACTAAACTTTTACAAAGTTTATGGTATTGTTATTTAGGCAAAAAGACAAATTCTGACGTTGACCTGAGAGGTATAGAACCATAATTCAAACCTACTCCGTTTTTAAAGTATTTTGTACAAATTAACTCATTTTAAAAAGCACACAAAACAAAATTGGTTGATTCACATTACCATGAACACAGACCCCCAGATTTAGATTTGCAGCGAGCAACAAAGAAAACGTTCACAGATTCATTGCAGCATCAACCGCGTTCATATAATTTTCTACAGATTTGAGAATCATTTTGTTTTGATCTGAGGAAAAATGAACAATAAGTTATTTCTTCTAAGGAACAACTACATGGTACATGGGAATTTACAAGTAAAATCTTACTGGAAAGCAATGATTCAATAGGCTTTTCGAAGTTACTCAACTGATACGTACTTTTTCGGGACTGGTTTCCACGGAAGACTCGTTGTTCATGTCGTCCTCGAACAACCTAACTTCACAAAGCTCTCCACCAGCTTCATCAGCAAATGTAATCTTCCTCTTCAACTTCTGAACTGAAGTTGGAGAAGCATTTGAACCATGCCCACTTGTTTTCTGCAGTTAATTGTTTGATAGTTAGGGGAAGCAAAATAATGCTCTAATGGATGTTTTCTTTCACTTTATGTTGCAAGATTATGGTGAAGAACGTACCATTATTTTACAAAAACGGTTACAGTCCCTCGACATTATGGAAAGCCATTTCTTCGCACTTGCTTCCGCTTTCGTTGCATCGGCGATGGCTGTTCTCACCTGTCGAAATACAGAACAGTATATGAGAGGACAGCAAACACCTAATGAGCAAACCTACAAGTTCAAGTGCTAATTTAACAAATATATGCTATGTTCATTCTGCCTAATGTGTATTACATGAGAGCAAGTTCTCTACAAGTTAATACAGGATTGATCAATGTCCTCAACAGACATAAGCAGCACCCAATTAAGGTAATGGGATGGAAATTCTATTGAACAGGATTGACTGCCCGACGAAAACCTCGAGAAGTGTAATAAAAAAGAATTTCTTCCAGAAATAGTTGCCAAAGCCAAGTGCATGATTAGGTTAAACACTTGGCATGCAAGATGGAAACTAACATCATACATCCCATGCAACAAACAGTTAGGGAAAGGGGAGAAAAGGATTAAAAACTTAATGAAACACGTTCCTATATGGTAATTGATGCCAAATGCAACTAATAATCAAGATCCTCCAAAGATCATGTTCAATTATTATACAAAATGGGTTTGTACATGAAAAGTGCAAGGGAACAGGAAGGTTTTATATTCGTCGATGAAGCTGACTGATTAAGCGAGAGTTTAAGTTCAAAACAGGTAGGAAACATTTGCAATAAGGTAATAATAATATAAAGTTGTGTTCAGACATATATTTAGTTACCTCATCCGTGTTAAACTTGTAGCTTGTAGCTTTGTTGCCTTCAACATGAATTCTGTCTTCTACAATTGCTTTCATTGACTTTAACTGAGTTGTAAGCTTCAGAGCAAGACACTCTATGTCCTGCATCTGTCTTTCTGTGAATGCAATGGCACTATCTGAACAACTCTGGACGGTAGAGCTTCTCATGCTAGCATGAGCATGAGAAGCTTTAGTGGTGTTTGTTGAGTGAAGACTTCTCTTCTTTGATTTCCTTGTATTTTGCTCGTGATATGTATCGGAATACACTCTCTTCATCGGGTCACACCCTTCAGCTGTGCCAACCTTGTACTTAATTTGTTTGAAATATGGTTTGCCACCGCATGCTAAAATGAGAAGAGAAGACAATGAGGAAAATAGAAAGGAAAATTGAAAAAACTGCTCCAATTGTCATAATTGTATTCTTTGAATTTCACTAGGATTTCAAATATGCTTATAGAAGTAAACTATAGAACAAAAGAATTAAGTAAAAATAAAAATTATCAAATGAACCCACAATTTTTTTCCATGAATTAATGCCAATATTCCCTAGTAAAACATGTGTTGAAGGGGTGAGAGATGAGACTTGCAAAGCTTTTAAGTAGTCCATAGTTTTACCAGAGTACTTCCCCTTTTAAGCCCCTGTGCTAAATTTGGCATTTTTTTGTCAAGAAAATGTTTTTGCATTCTGTTTGATATGGGGTTTTTAGCTTGCGTATTAAGTCATTGAAAACAACCTTTTTAAAAATTATTATAAAAAAAGGCTTAATATGGGAATTCCAAACCACGTCCCCTAATAACTAATGTTTAACTTCAGAACTTACTTTTGCATTCTTTATCTTGTAACTGCATAGACTTCATAGCCTTGGACAATCTTTCCTGAGATGTTGGAGAAATGGTCTGAAAATGAAAGCACAATTATATAAACAACCTCCGCATAATTTAAATCAAATATTACAAAAATAAGATTTAACTTACTGTTCTCGTTGATAGCAGCCTTGTTGGATGACGTTGAGTTTCTTCAATTTGATTGAATTTATTCGTAGAACCATTGAGATGAAAATCTGGTGAAGTATTTCTTTCTGAATCAGAACAATCAGACATTTGTGGTTGTTTCTCCTTAGCTGGACATTCGTCAATAGATATCAAATGCTGATCAGGAATTGAGTTACGATCACTGATAGAATTTGTTGAAACACTCTCTCTATGATCAGGGCTTAAGTTACAATCACTGGTAGATTTTGATGAAATCCTTCCCCCATGTTCAGAGCTTAAGTTACAATCACTGGTAGATTCCGTTGGAATGCCCTTTTCATTATCAAATGCCAACCTGTCTTTATACCTATTCTCGGTTAAACGTACTTCAGCTCCAAGACTCATCTCTGGGAGTTGGAGGCTATTCAGATCAGCCATTCCATTCAAATACGTGAAGATTTCACCATTATTCGGACATATGGCCTCATCTGTAAAGGGTTTACCTTCTGAAATATGAGTGTCAGAGAACTGTTCCCCGGTCATGGAAATTGCTGACATATCTTCACTATTATTCTGACATATGACCTCGTGTGTAATGGATTTAGCTTGTGACATATGAGTGCCAAGGCACTGCTCCTCAGTCAGGGAAATAGCTTCTGATATGCTATCATTGGATACAAAACTTGGGGTACATTGTCCCTCCATAGTCTCTGATGTAGGAAAATCTGAATGTTGGGGTTTGTGTACCTCCAGGTTATCTTCACTCACACACTCAGTGCTAGATTCCCCTACCATCTGAAGAGGTCTGGATTCATCACCTTCCACATTTTCAAGAGATACACAGTTTGGAACTCCATATTCAGCTTCTTTCTCAGATGCTGTCAACTCTAGACCGAAAAATAATTCATCGGTTCCAAAAGGCCCAGAACTCAGACACGAGTTTACATTTTCATCACAGAGTAGAGACAACTCATCCGGAATGCAGTTTGTGTTTTGGATATCTGTCACATCAGTTTCAGGAGTTTCAACTTTAATGTCCACTGGGATGGCTAGGTCAGAACTAGATGGAAGGAGATCCTGATCAATATTGATTGGATCAGAATTTTCAATTGTTCGGCCGTGCAGTGAGCTAGTAGATATTTTGCTTTCGTCACATTTGTTTTTCAATTTTTTGCGTTTTGAAAGTTTGGATTGCCAGATGCTAAGAGCAACATCAAGATCACTATCATCCTCATCTGATAACAAGCATGAATGATTTAATTCTCGTCTGGAGCATGTTCTCAGCTTTTCCTTGCTTGAGTCAACAGAATTTGACTGCCTCACTTTTCTTTTCTTGCAGCTTTCCATCATCTGCTTTATAGTCATGCTATCAGCTTCTACATCACTCTTTTGTCCTTCAGTGTCACTATCACCTTCACGGTCAGAATCAGAAACTTCAGGCTCATCATTGAATAGTTTTCTTTCTGCATAAAGAACTTGGGTTTCCATCTTCGATTCACATCCATCACGAATATTTCCTTCTAAACCTTCTCTTGACCATCGTGTTGGGAGTGATTCTTGAGCTTTGTCATATATAGATTCATATATGTCAGTAAGCTTCTTAAATACCATTGCAGGCTTTCCACGGTTGATGTTTAAAACTTTAGTCATCATACCCCCTTTAATGGCATGGATATGATGAAAATGACTGAAACTTCTTAACTCCATTGGATAAGTATAATTCTTCTCCTTCTTGAGCAAAGATAAGGCGTCTCCTGCAGAGCAAAACACTAATTAAGTAATGGTAGCAATAAATTCATCAAGACAGCACGATTACAAACAAAGAAGAGAAAATTGAGGGTCAAAGAACTTAGGTCCACCGCTCAAATCCTACCGATTTTCTGATTCAAGGGAATTTTCAATAGAACTGCTCCGGAATGAGAAGAAAAAACAAACATTGGAACAATCGAGTCCAATGTAGATGAAAACCTTTTGGCCTCATTGCACAATATCAGATTATGGACAAAAGAATTGACACATTTGTGAAAATCACCAAGCAGTCCGTTAAAGAAAAATCCTCGTTCATAAAACTATCGACCACCTCAAGTAAATCCTCCACAATACATATTCATAATTTACTTTATACTTTAAAAATAAAATTGTCAATTCCAGATCTATACATTAACATTACTCGACCAGTTGAATAGTTCTTTTCGATAGGAAACCCTCTTTTTCACTAAAATAAACAGCGCCAACTTAACCATGGACATTAGAGAACTACAATCATAGACTTTAGAGAAACTTATTCCGAACATCCAAAAAGTCTAAAATTTAGCAAGATATGAGAATGACGAACGTTATCAACAACTCAGCAAAACCCTAGATCCCAAAATAAACAAATAAAATAAATCGATAAACACACAAAGAATAACTAATTCAGCTGAAGATGAAATAAAAGGAAATTTTCGCAGATCTGAAAACGGAATCGACCTCCAGCTATCCAATCAACAGTACGAGAGAAGTAAAGGCAGAGATTGACTGACCAGTGATAGAACTCTCTGAATCGCCGGCGGCGGAGCTGAGAAACAACGGAAGCTGAAGCAGATCTAGCAGGACAGACCAGCGGAAGAAAATGGCGGGAGAGAGATCTAGGGTTGGTTCAGTGAAGAGAGAAGAAATACTAAGGAGCCTTCAATTTCGCGCCAATTCGTCTGGCGGGAAATCGAGGAGAGTTAAACTAGGAAAAAAAAAAAAAACAAGAGCGAAACCTCCTTTTTATAGCGTCCCGTTGCGCAGATCTGGCCCGTCCTTGAAAACCCGTTATTTCAAATTTGACCGTTGATTTTGTTGACCAATAATCAACGTAATTTTTTTTATTAACTTTTTTATTTAAATTTTATTTTTAATTAAATGGTTAATATTGTAAAACATCTATTTATTTTTTAATACATATTTTAATATATATATATATATATATATTCGCGATATTTGAACTAATGTGAATGAGTGTAAGCTTCGTGACCCGAACACGATTGGTGTTGACCACACCGAGCTACCGTGGTAGCAAGAGAGGCCAGGTGGTGACATTTGAGAGGTTGTCACTGAGCATTCCTAGTCACACAAGAAGAAAGGTCAAATGGCAAGGGCATACGCCTGTTTGGCTCCTCGCGGAGTATAGCTCACATCCAAACATCTAATTGGGGAACGGGGCAACGCCCATGAAGCTCCGACGGAAAGGAAAGGCCTGCCAGGTCGTATGCCCATGGGTGCAGGATTCTTCGAAAAAGCGCAGACTGACTCATACATATATATAACCCCTAATGCCTCGACATTCACCTGTGACGTGGTTACTTATTGCTTCTAAAAGTGGAAGACTATCCCTACTTATAAATACAAGTCATTTCAGCATGTTCGCCCTTCATTCACATGTATCCTAGGAAATTTCCATATAACAAAATCGCTGAGAATTAGTTAAGTAAAACACGCTTAACCATACCATGAAGTTTCTATAATTGAGCCACTGGAAAGAATATGCAGTAATTTTCAAGTATTTTAAGTTCTTTTTAGTCATTTTAGGTTCAGGAAACACATTAAACATGATCTTTATCTCTAAGATAATTAAATAATACGTGTCAAAAGAATATGATGCCACGTATGTCATGGAACATGAAGACAACTGACGTGGCCAAAAAAAATATATCATTTATTCCCTGTTTTATGAACTTATCCCAATTCTGCTTGCACACGTGGATAATCTTTAAAATAAGTTAATATCCAACCTGGCAAAAGGAAATGGCTTAAATTATATGTATATATACTTTTTCATAAATATTTTAAAATTATTTTTTAAATATGAATTCGTTGGAATATTGATAAAACGTCGAGGTGGTAGATCGTCGTTTTTTGAAATTTAATTAAAGGATTTTTATTTATTTTTCTCGCTGTTAAAATTAGGATAAAATAAAGTTTTCAACGGACAACAACGACAAAATTTGTTTGAAAAAAAAAACACGTCTAACAAAACTCGAGGCAGACGGCATGCACTAATTTGAGAGTCCGACCCAACCAAGGTCGAGGAGGCCCAATTTTGCCTCTTCTTCTTTCCTTCATGGTTTGTTCTTTTTGTGCCAGCTTGATTATGTCTCGTGTTCGGGAGATTTTCCAAAACGTCATAACTCGTAAAGTTGAATTTAGTATTTAGAGATCAATCGCTTTGGAACTTCATTAAAAAAACAATCTTTAGAGCCAAATTATTCTAGAACTTAAAAAAAAAAAAAAAACGATAAGAAACCAATCTATAGCAAATTTTGGAACGGGTTACCTTGATGATGAAAATTAAAATTAAAGAAAATTTGTTTCTAAACTCGTGATTCGAATCACTCCATAAAAAGAGCTTGATCAAAACTAATTGTGTATCATACTATATCATTTTAATGATAATTAATAAAAAAAATAATTTAATAATATAAATTGTGCCGTACTAGACCACGTCTCAAATTAAAAAAAAAAAAATTAAAAAGTTTCTATGGCTAATACTGCAAGAATCTAAGTCCACCGAGTAGATACAGTCCCTTTGGTCCATTGTGTATCGCCCCAGCCTCATAATTTTAAAACACGTCTATCAGAGAGTTTTAACGTCTCAGTAAAAATATTTTAATATAGATAAATAATTTATATAAATATTAACGATAATAATTTATAAGGATGAAGAGTGTGGTGTTTTTAAAAAGTTTATAGGTATTTTTTAAATATAATATTAATATTTAAATTTAAAAATAATTGAAAAATAAAAAATTAAAGGATATTAATAAAAATATAATAAATCATTGTTATGCGTGTGGATCTTGTAGAGGAGACCAAAACTTGACGAAAGTAAAAACCGCCCCCTTCGTCACGTCAACAACGAGATGATCGGGAAACAAGAACATGATCCAAACATTTCAACACTGTTTCAACTGAGATCGCCGCCGAAATCCACAAGCTATTGATACAGTTTCCATCTCAGATTTCGATTATCACTGCACTCTTTTTCAATCCGCAATTACTTTTCTCACGAATTCGTCCATAAGAAGCAAAAAACCAACCAATCAAAGGACAATCCTGTTCAAATTTTGGGCGAAACCCTCGTGGTCTTAGATCCAAGTCCCCTGTAAATGGCAAGGTATTGAAGAGCTTCTCCGAGCTTCTCCAATGGCGAATCCGCGTAAAGGCAAGCTCCTTTTTATCTATTTTCTATTTGTTTTTGCTATTCACCGTGTTTCTAGGGTTTTTGTCTGCAATTCTAGCTCCCTTGAGCTGAATCAACCTGAATCTGATGTCCCTATTGAAATTAGACAGCATGTTTTACTGAAAAATCTTGAGGAGTTAGTGAAAAACCTTAGCGATGTAGTTTCTAAATTGGAGATGAGATTATCTGATATTCCCACGAAATTAAACACTGAGGTTGGTAGTTTAGGCGGTGGAAAAGGACTGAGTGACGGCGGAGATGGCGGTTTGGATAATGGAATTCAATATGGAGGTGGAGGTAGAGCTGTTACTGTGACAAAATACAGTCCATTTTGGTCGGAGAAGTTCCATTTTTTGTCGGCTGTGAAGCTGGATTCTGATGCTACTTGTATCAATGTCCTGCCGCTTAGGGATTTCGAGGGGCATAGCAAGTATGTTGCCGTAGGAGATGAGAGAGGGCGAGTTTATGTTTTTATGAGAAATGGGGATGTTGCGGTTGAGCTTCGTACGGTGTCTGATTCGCCGATTACGTCAATGCTTTCGTATATGTCTGTTTATAAGAATGAGACCCTTTTGGTTACTGGCCATAAGAATGGGGCGATCTTGATGCATCGGATTTGGGAGAGATCGAATGGGGAGGATTTAAATTCGGTTTTCATGGAACATGTTGTGGAATTTGTGGCAGAGGATGAGTCGCCAATTTCCATCTTGGAAGTGCATTATGTTGGGAGGATTAGGTACATTTTGTCTTCGAATGTTCGGGGGAAAATCAAGGTTTTTAGAGAAGATGGGACGGTTTATGGTTCGGTCATGCCTATGAGTAGGCCAATAGTGTTCTTGAAGCAGAGGCTCTTGTTCTTGACCGAAAGTGGCGCTGGCTCGTTGGATTTGAGAAGTATGAAACTTAGGGAGTCGGAATGTGAGGGATTGAATCATTCTCTTGCTCGAAATTACGTGTTTGATGCCGTGGAGCGATCGAAGGCATATGGTTTTACATCAGATGGGGACTTGATTCATGTCTTGTTGTTGGGAGATATACTGAACTTCAAATGCAGGGTTAGATCGAAACGGAAGTTCGAGCTTGATGAACCACTAATCTTTCAAGCAATCAAGGGCTATTTGCTTGTTATCAGCAATGAAAAGGTTCATATTTACAACGTATCGTCGCAGCATTACGTTCGAGTTGGTGCACCGAGGCATCTCTTTTCTGCTGGTCTAGACGAGATCAGGTCATCTTTCTTGAATTATCAGAATATGGATTCAGAGTCTGGAGGAAAGTTTATACCATTAATATCGAGCGACCATGAAAAGCTCGTGGTTCTTGGACTTGGGGGCGGATATGTCGGATTGTATCGCTCGAATCTTCCGATTTTTAAAGGGGAGTTCAATACAGTGCTATGGACAAGCCCTGTTCTCTTTTTCATTCTCTTTCTGTTTGGAGCTTGGCATTTCTTTGCAAAGAAGAAGGAGGCACTCACGTCCTGGGGACCGGACGATCCTTTTACTGCAACTTCACCGACTACCGGAGCTCCACTCGGAACTGGATCTAGCGAGCGAGCATCTTTCATTGACGCTCCTTCGAGAAGTACTGATATGATGGATCTCAGAGGTGGTGGTGGTGGCCTAAGAGGACCACCTCGACGTTATGGTTCTCCTACCGGGTATCCTGGTGGGGCAACGAGTTCGTTTAGGCCAGCTACGACAAGTGACCATAACTCAAGACCAGCCGCAGTTGATCCAAATTATCGAGCAGCTTCGGAGTTAAAATTCAGGGGCTCGCCTTTAGAACCACCGGGATTTCCGAAACGACGGGAGCCTCTATTTGCAAACAATCAGGTGGTCAATCAGGTGGTGGATGAAAGCAGTTGAAAGAAAAATAGGTATCAGCTAGTAATCTTTGCTTCAAAGAGTTTTAAGTTCCTAAATCCTGTTACTTTTTCCGTTTTACTTTTTCCCGATTGCTCGTTTGCTGGTCGGTATGAACGGTTTGATCGTGCAATATATCTATATCTCTGTCTTGTAGTTTGATGCAAAGGAAAATAATACAAAAAATTAGTGAAATAATGCAAGTTTCGTTTTGAAATTATTGTCCTCCTTGGTATCAGAGTTAGACATCGAATGGTGTGCCAATGAAGACGTTGGGTCCCCAAGAGAGGTGAGTTGTGAGATCCCACATCGATTACATTCCTTATGAAGGTATGAAAATCTCTTCTTAGTAGACGTTTTAAAATATGAGGCTAACGACGATGCATAACAGGCCAAAGTAGACTAGACACTATACGCTAGTGGTGGGCTTGGGCTGTTGCAAATGGTATTAGAGCTAGACACCAAGCAGTGTGCTAGTGAGGACGCTAGGTCCCCAAAAGGGGTGGATTGTGAGATCCCACATCGGTTGGAGAGGGGAAAGAAACATTCCTTGTAAGGGTGTGGAAACCTCTCCCTAATAGACGCGTTTTAAAACCTAAGGTTGACGGTGATACCTAACGTGCTAAAGTGGACAATATCTGCTAGCGT